AAAATGTAGTAATTAACTGGACTGTTATTGTGTTTTACTTAATCCATTTTTCTCTGACCTTGTCATTATGGTACACATTTCACAAACTAACAAAAGTATGTCATTTCTGTGACGACTGCAGTTTGGAATCCTCATGACTGACTGGACAATGTGGGTCGGCAAAGTCAGACTTAGCAACACAGTGCTGAGCAAGGCACCGAATGTACAGGCAGTATTGCAGGATGCATTCAGGTCTTTTTGTAAAACAGTGCAATATCAAAAGACCCCATTACGTTTAAAAGCCCTGTGCTAAAATTGTCCCTTGAAAGTATGCAGGTATTATGAGTAAAATGTAAAGTACCAGAAGTAAGAGTACTCAGTAGACAGAAAGTTACCCTTTGTGGGTGTAATTCTATTAAATTAATATTGGTGATGCAATAAGTAGTCTTTTACTGTTGTCTGTAGCTGGTTCAAGTGAAGCTGAATTTCATTCTTTTACATGTAGTGGGTTAGTTTCATTTATAAAAGTGCAAAAGGTTTTACGAGCTCATCATATGTATGTAAAATCCTAATCTGCAAAAGCAACTAAAACCACAAAGGTGCATTATTTTCCATTGAAATGTAAGTAGCATTGATTTAAATTCTCTGATTACCTTGTATTTATATATAGGTACAGTACTTGAGTAAGGCACTTCCATGCTTTCGCCTCCAGGGAACAAAGATGACAGGCCTTTGTTTGATACCTGAGTGGAGGCTGTAGCGGCTCTTCCACAGTGCAAAGTGTGACACCTCGTGGCTTCTCTTTGGTACTACAAACACTGCAAAGGTAATCTCTGGTATCTCATTAACTTTTGTTAAGCTAAACAAGGCAGGCTTTTGTCAGTGAAGGCTGACTAGATGAAATTAAAATCTGTGTTTACAATTTTTTGTTTGTGACTCTGTTGAACTGCGTTGCATTATAGTGAGAGGCAGTGTACATGCCCCGACAAGGTTAGACTAAATAACAGAAACATCTCTCTGTATAATGTAATACAACTATGCGGCCTTCAAAATGCCCATAAAGCTCTTTAAATTAGGTTCAACAAAAACAAACAGTGGCCTACTTCTGCTAAAGTAATAGAATTTACTGCAGGACTGTTGCATTAACTGCAGCTATGTTCACCCTGTACAGTACAATTAAGTGTAGTTTCTGTCTGAATACAAAATAAACAAACAAATCAGAATGTTAAATTATAAGTTTGTATTTAGAATTAGCGACCGAATAAAGCCACTTTATTGCCCATTGTTGCATAATACTGCTCTCTGATCTGAACAAGAATGTAATTAAAATTGCATCACAGGGGCAAAACCCTAAATTCCCTGATGATATATTGAGGAAATGGTTGATAGTGAAACTACTATCAGCTGCAGTCTGTCTGTCTGTCTGTCTGTCTGTCTGTAACAAAGCTTTTAGTTGCAGTTTCCACATGTTTCCAGTAAACAGGCCAGGTCAGAGATGAATCATTGAGTCTGCTGTACTGGTCATAAAAACTGTTGGCTGATAGGAAAATAAGGAAGCGATAGGCCACTTTCTATGAATGACCTAACTGAAAACAGCGTCTCGGAAATCTTTGATGACACTACATATTGGTGCTGTCACAGAGCTGCAGGTCATTCATGTTTGGAAAAAAAAAAAAGTATTTAAATAATTTTGTAAATGTCTGAGGGTCATAATAGTTTGGTCACTTTACTGGCATTCTGCATTTAGTAAATGGTTAACAAAATTACAGAGAGGGAAATGTTGATAAGCTTGTATAATGTATCAAAGTAGCTATAAAAAAAAAAAGGAGAGCCACAGAAGAGACATTTCCGAAGGCTTTGCATTTCCAGTATTAACCTCACAGCATGATGTCTGGATCATAAGGTGGAAAAGTGAAAAAAAAACAACAACAAACTAACAAAAAAAAACTTTTTTTTATTTTTATTTTTTTAAAATCAGAGTCTCAACACTTAATTAACCAACTGAAAATGAATCAGCAATTATTATAATTATTATGGCTCAGTAAATGAAACCATTATTGTTTCAAACAAAAACTTTAAAGAAAATCTCTGGGCCCAACTTTTTAAATGAATTGCCTCTTCTTTTTATTTTTTTTTTTTAAAGAATTTATATCCTGTAAATTTGTGTAAATTTGAATATCTCTTGGTTTCGACTTAGTTGGACAAAACAACACATCTGATAATGTCAGCTTGGGCCTTGAAAAGATGTCATGGGTATATTTCAGAAAAGTTTGATGAATTTTATACTGAGCAATTAATAGTGAAACTAATGATAAATGATCAGTGAGCAGCTAAATGCCACCAAACGCTATCTTTTATTCTATTCTTTTTATCATTGTGAATGTTGTTGTAAATACTATTAAGGGCCATATAACTGTATCCACGGGACACTGTGTTACTTTTTATATGTGTATTATTGCGTGCTTGTAAATTGTGTAACAGTGTCTTTAAACCTGTAGGTCAAGAACCATCAGAGAAATAATGAGGTAATTAAAATCTTTTTTTTTTTTTTTTAGTGACTTGAAGTCTTTCTTCACAAAATTCCTTTTTTTTCTCTTTTCTTTCTGGCTTCATAATAATTAACCCTGTCTTGAGAAATAGAGGGTAGTTTTACCTTTGCATGAAGGAGGGAAGGAAGGAAGGAAAATGGTCCTAAACATTTAGGATTATATAATTATTTCACAGCTGTAGTTACTATGTAGCTACTTGTAAAATAAAGATTTTACACGACGGACAGTAGAACAAGCTTTTAAATGCAACACACTGTTAAATATTAAACCATAGGTTTCCAACTTCTTTGTCTTCTGACATCTTACAATAAGTGGTGAGAGTCACTTTTCACATGCCTGAGTTGTTAACACTTTCACTAGATTGGGATTTTTCCATCTAAACTTTCCACATATGATTTCAATCCATGTTCAATGGTTCAATATCTCACCAAAAACCAAAGATGGTAAAAAAAAACCCAAAAAAAACCCCAAAACCTTGAAGCAGATTAGTGTTTTCTGGTACATATATATATATACACACCAACATTAGCTAGACCTGCTGCAGCTACATCTACAATACACTGCTTAAACAGTGCAATCCGATATACAACGATCTATCAGTCAGAGCAGTCAGAGGGACTAATCCAGTACTTTTCTTTATTACTTAAACTTCATTTTGCTCCAAATACTTATGCATACTACTTATACTTTAGTAAGATTTTTCATGTAGGGTGGGTATTGTTAAAATGAGACACTTTCTGTAAATTTTTATTCAGGAACTTGACACAGTTTTTGTAAACATTGTCCCACTAACTACACCATACAGAAGAATGAATAAAGAACACTCAAACACAGAATTGATGACTCCATCTCCACTTTTTTTTTTACAGACTCTACTGGCACAATGGAACACCTTCATTGAAAAATCAGATGCTTTATAGTTTGAGGTTAAAACAACAAGAACAACAACAATAAAAATAAGAAATTGAAGAAGAACTAACCTCAATATTTTAAATATCTTTAAACAACCATACAATGAAAATCAAACAACACAACTTAAAACCATTCTAAAAATAAAACGGTTAAGCTTTACAAAAATCTACAAACAAATACTCACCACTTGATTCCAATTTATTTTGTAACGGGATGTAATTACGCATCAAAATGACTAAAAATCTATTTGTACTCCTGTTGCCTTTTTTGAAAAATGCAAATTTTGTTTGTGTCCCAATTTTGCCAACTGTGCTTTGTTAAAATGGGACACTGCTCTGAGTCATCTGGGTCAGAAAAAAAAAGAAAAAAAAAGAAAAATACTTTTCAATAGTTAATTAAAGATAATAAAATGTTGGCATCACTTATCTCCCTTGATTTAGGTTCTTTATTTTTTTTTGCCTATCTTTTTTTTTATTTTTTTTTATTAAGTATTCTCATGACATTTTGTGATATTTGATGTAAAACAATCTATTCTGCGTTTTATTTTCTTTTACTTTTTCTTCTGTACATTGCAGTAGTGGGGGTTAGTGGGAGCTGAGGCTTTGAAACAATTCTTTAAATTTCTCCAGAATACAAACATTCAGAAAGTAACCCATCTGACCAGTACCTACTGTATGTTTTAC